AAAATGTTTACTAATTTGAATTAGTGACTCACTTTTTGCTTCTGAATTAGTAAAATTTTACTAATTATTAGTAACTTTAACTAACAATTAGTAAAATTTAACTAATTCTAAAGCAAAAAATGAGTCACTAATTTAAATTAGTAAACATTTTTACTAATTCAGATTTAGAGAGTAAAATCATCTCTGAACGGTAAATGAAGAATATTTTTTTAGGTTAAGAATCATGTGAAAATCTTATTGACAATAAATAATTGGTTGCCATTGCGCCCCGTCCCTACTTGCCAAAATCCCCACTCGTCATTTATCATAATTCCCGTCAACTACCGCACTCTGCTCTAGTGAAAATTTAGTAACTTTATAGTAACTTTTAATTTTAACAATAAAGTTACTAAATTTTTACTAGAGCAGGGTGCGGTAGTTGGCAAATGGCGACAATCGCAACCAACCAAATTGTACAATAATAAGTGGAACATTCGAATTGTGACACTTTGCAGAAAATGGTTTGGGTATTTTTTTATTTTTTTTTTAAATTGCCTTTTTTTCCAATAAAGAACAAAAAAAAAAATTTATGCGTATTTAAAAGGTCACTGGTAAATTTCACGTGGATTCGCCCATATATAAATATATATATATATAAATAATGTAGAAACGACGTCAGTTTATTTAGATGTCTAATATATAAACTAAATTTATACATTATGTATACAATCTTTACCCGAGGTGTCATTTTAACTATTTGCCTATTTTGTTTGAGAGTTTTTTTTTACATATATTTATTTGATGCTGAGCTGGGACTGCAAATACGACGTAAAATTCATAAATGTGTGTATATATTCTCAACAAAAACAAATAATTTGCTCATTCTAAGCAATTACATAACATAACTATTGGAATTAAACTTAAATATGTTTGAGTGAAAGACGCAAAGAAATAATTTGAAAAAAAATTTATTTGATTCAAATAAACGGTTACTTGATTATTATCAAATAAATATTTATTTGAACCAAATAATTTTTATTTGAGTCAATTAAATGGTATTTGTTTTAAATAAAAAACTTATTGGTTAAAATAAAAATTTTTTTGTATCAATAGATGTTTATTTGATAATAGTCAAGTAAACGATTACTTGAATCAAATAAATTTTTGTTTCAGTGTATTAATAAAAATTATATAATTAATTACGCTACGTAATGTAAAATCATTTATTTAAAAATAACAAAAAATAATATTAACATAAGAATGTGAAAATTGTTTTGTGCCATTTTTCACGTAATTAAAATAATTTATTACATTAAAGAAATAAATGTAGGCGGTAAATAAATTCTTGTATTAATAAATTATTATTAAATTAGTATAAATGAATAAGGTGTATAGTGTATGATATCTAAAATGTTATTATAGCACGAAATGAAGAAGAAGAAGAAGAAGCGCATATATAAAAACGATTCGTTATTCAAGAAAATGCTTTAATCAAATTTAGGAATTACAAATTTTGTCCTACATTAAATCTTCCTAGAAGTTATTAGCACTCGAGTTGGCAGTAAACGAGACTTCCGCACACTCGCAGCACAGGTTTCTTATCGAATTTAGTTTGATTTCATCGAGCCAAAATACGATTATATGCCGCTGTATTATAACTACTTAGACGTATATTCTATTCATAGGCCTCAAAATTTAATGGCCTCTCGTCTTATTCTACAAAAACGTTCTCTCTATTTAGAGCAATAACAACTTTTCGAATAATAATTGTGAAATATTTCGTATATATATATTCACTTAATATGTCTATATAGGTATATATTCATTTATATTTAGGGCGAGTTGGGCGTGACTAATTTTGAGTCTAAAAATTATATTTAAAGAAATATATTTAATTTATTAGAATAATTTTAATTTTAGTATTTTGTTTTTCAAAAAATATTTATAAACATAATAAAAATAATTTATATTAAAATTTTCATAATTTAATCTAACATTAGTTACAACCGACCCAACTACTCTACTTTTTACGAAGCTGAAGTACGCAACGTTTATGCGATAAACGATTTTTAAAGAAATAATTTTTTAAAATGAAAAATTTTATAATTTTTTGCCTAAAAAATATTTCTGGTAGTTTTCATTAATCAACAAATTATAAAAAAATATTTTTTTATGCAAAAAATTATAGAATTTTTCAATTTAAAAAATTATTTCTTTAAAAATCGTTTATCATAAACGTTGCGTATACTTCAGCTTCGTACTTTTTAAAAACTTTTTTAAATACAATTTTATTTTCTAAAGACTATTAATTTTTCACGCCCCATTTTTTTCAAACTTGAAAAATATTTCCCAATTTTTTTACATTGTCGTTAATATAGCAATTTTTTACTAAAATGACCAAATTTGCATTCAAAAATTTTTTTTTAACTGTAACATTTTTTTTCGCAATTTTTGTGAAAAATAAGGAAATACGTTTTTCTTTATTAATTTTTGATTTGATAAAAATTATAAAAGTTATGATTTTTTTAAATTTAACGTCGTCAATAGAAGCCGCGTTTACTTTTGAAATACGTTTTTTTCTGTCATAGTAACAAATAATAAATATTGTATATGAAATTTGTTCCAATATGTTGTTAAAAAAAGTACCATAACTACAATCGAAACATCTATGTAAAAAATTAAGTCCAAAAAGTGATTTTTCTCAAAACCAAAGTGATTCGGCTTCTATGACGAAGTTAAATTTAAAAAAAAATCATAACTTTCATCATTTTTATCAAATTAAAAAAATACGTATTTCGTTATTTTTCATTAAAATTTCGCAAAAAAAAAAATTCTAGTGAAAAAAATATTTTTTAAATGAAAATCTCACGTGAAATAAATACCCTATATATATAATACTTATGAGATTGATTACATTATTTTCTTCATATATAAAAATTGTCTGAAATTATCGATTTTTTTTTCGTGACTCTTTATTTTGCGAAATAAAAAAAAAAAAATATATAATAGCCGTCCCGTAAGGGATGCGTCTGCGACCGAGAGGGCGAAGAAGAAGTATTCTCATTATATGCGTGATTTATGCGCGTGCCACCTTGCCGCTGGGAGATTTTAGGTTAAAGGCAAAAGTTAAAAGAAAAATAAAGCTTATGGGGTGTAAAGTCGAGAGAGGAGAGAAAAGTAGAAGGGAGGACGACGACGACGACGAATGACATTAGGCAGCAAAGTCACGTCGTACGCACTTTGCACAAAACTTATTCACAATTGGCATAAAACATTCGAAAAAGGTCTTTGTATTTATATATGGGTTATTCTCCAGAAACTAGTCATTTTCAAGAGAGTAATTTTTTTTCAACTCGAAATTCGATTTTTTTAAATTAATTTCTATTATTATTATTATTATTATTATTATCATTATTAGTTCAGTTGTAATATTAGATTGGCGTGAGGATCAAATAAAGAAACCTTTTTCTTTTTTAAAAAAATTGTCAGACGTTTCTGCTCAAATGGGAGCCTTCATCAGTGACGTAATTTATTGTCTATAAAGTATATTTTTACGAGGTTACAGTTTGTTTAAAGTGTCATGTTTATAATAAAAAAAATTAAATTCTTTTTTTTTAAATATATATATACATATTATATTGTAAAAAAATTGGAAAAAATTGAAAAAAGAACAAAGTATCTAACTTCGAAGAACCCAGAAAAGGCACTAATTAACAATATAGGATCAATATAATTCCAAACATGGATAGAATTAATTATGATTATTATTATTATTGTTATTATTATCATTATTATATTATTTTAAAGGCAGAAGACTTTTGCTGATAAAGAGTACTTTCAGCCTTTTCTTCTGCTGTCAAAATAAAATGTGAAACTAACCTCAATTACTGATCCAGACACGTAACAACAAGGGGCACTGAAATATTTATCATCTTCTAATATTTGTTATTAGTGAAATTATTTTAAACTATAAATTTAATTAAATACAATTAAATTATTGTCTTTTAAATTATATATAAATAAATATATAAGGTGTAAAAAAATTTATTATTTACTTTAAGGAAATTTAAAGGCATGGGCGACACTTTTTTTTTGCTTCGCACCTGCTTTGTAAAATGACTATTTGTTGCAATTAGGTTAGGACGTCCGAATAAAATTCCATTCCTATACAGTTCAGAACTATAATAAAAATTACATATCACTATTATGGTATGATATATATAATATTTACTGAATTAACGCGTATTATGCAGTTCCTTTATTCGTGGAAACACGCTCCTCTCTTTAAACGTTCAAATGCGTATATATATATATATATATATATATATATAAACAAAGCAAGTGCATAGAAAATCGAGAAGAACGGACATGAAAATGCATTTAGCTCTTGTTTACACACAATATAATATGCTATGTCAGAGTTCTTGAAATCGTTGAAAATGTAGAAAATGTATATATTCTAATCCATTTGGATATAAAGAAAATAAAAATATAGACAAAAAATTATATTTGTAAATATACTCTTGAAATCTCTGTTTTAACATATATATATAACTGATTCAGGGAGGTTCAAAATTGGAACTTTTAATTTTCTTTTATATGTTTATTGTTTCAAAACTTGTTGTTATGATGTTGACAGGTTTCATAAAATTTTATAGGTTATGTTGTGTTAATTTAGTTATTAATTATTAGTATCATTAACAATTACTCTCTAAGTCTGAATTAATAAAAATGTTTACTAATTTAAATTAGTGACTCACTTTTTGCTTTAGAATTAGTTAAATTTTACTAATTGTTAGTAAAAGTTACTAATAATTAGTAAAATTTTACTAATTGAAAAGCAAAAAGTGAGTTACTTATTCAAATTAGTAAACTTTTTTACTAATTCAGATTTAGAGAGTACAATGTTAAAAGATTTCATAAAATTTTATAGGTTATGTTATGTTTATTTATTAATTATTAATTTTTTTTTAATTCACAAAATAAGGAAATGTGTTTGAAGTTTTATTTTTCAATTTCAGGGACACATTGGCGAAAACCCGTTCGATAACGGATCTTGGGGGAAGGACTTCCCAGCAGTGCCCTGGCAGCTGACTCCTCGCGGCCTCGGCCGACCAAGTGTAAGTTTTTTTTATCAAATTCCATACATTTTACAATATCCATTATCGTATACAAATAGTCAATTTTAACCTCAGTATCATAAAGAAACATCTATATAGGAAATAAAAACAAATACCCTTTTCTGATGAACAAAAATATCATATTGCACAACAAAGAATATTTCAAAATCAAGAAAACTATATTTATAAAAAAAAAAAAAATGCTATAGAATTTAGAGAATATTGTTTATAATTAAAATAGAATCACAAAATCAAATTTAGAAACATAACCTAAAAAATTAATTTCGATTTACTTTATCTGTTTTGCGATCAAAAACAAATTTACATGTGTCACATCTTTGTATTTATTAATTTTCTGAATTCTTATTCAATTAATTACAAATGATTAAATAAAAATTATTACCTTTAATACATGAAGTAGTATAAGAAGGCCGAACGACCATGTTAAATCTGCGTTAAAAGTGGACCAAATTTTGGTAACAGCTTAGTGTCATGAAAATACGGAATGGAACACCAGCGCTACTGATTGTGTTAAACTCATTGTCAGCTGGACAGTCAGCCATTGTGAAAGTTTTAAAAATAAGGAGCAATGTATTTTTTGGTTATGTTCAACGTACTTCTAATTTTTCCCACTGTTTTACATACTTCCCACGAGAGCGCTTGTGTTCCATTACGTATTTTCATGACACTAAGCGGTTACCAAAATTTGGTCCACTTTCAATGTACGTCGTTCGGTTTCTTTATACTACTCCATGCTTTATAATAGCAAAAAAAAACATCAATTTGCTTGTGTTGTAAATAAAAAGACAAGAAACGTTATGAAGTCAATCAGTAGTGCCAATAGCACCAGAGATGCCAACGATCGTAAAACCCGACTGCGCTTGCGCTACTATTATTCTCTCATTGGCAGAAAAAAGGCGCTCATATTTAAATTGCTTTAATATAAGAAAATATTTAGAAAACAATAAAAAAAAATATTATTAAGTACTAAATGTATTATTCTTATGTACAGTTATAATAATTTTTATTTAACATTAATTTTTAATTAATTATTTTGAAATTAATTTTCAGTAGAAATCATTTTGCTAACTATTAAAATAGCTATTTTTTTAATAAAAATCATCATAATATAATAATCTTAATAAATAAATAAATAAATTATAAATAAATTAATAAGTTAAATTATTAATTATCGCCAGATTTTTTAAATATAATTATAATTTTCCTATTTAAATTTTATTTTTTATTTTATAAATATATAAACAAATACATGCTTTTTAATGAGTTTTTAAAAATTATTCGCACTTAATAGTAATAATATTAAAATTATTGATGAAAATTTATTTTTTGATTAAAAAACATTATAAATAAACATAAAAACAATAAATGTACAAGTTTTTAAATTGTTTTTTTTTTTAAATATTTTGTTAAATTAAAGCATTTTGAATAAGAGCGCCTTATTCCTCCAATGAAAAAGTTGTTGTAGCGCAAGCGCAGTAACGTTTCTTGAGGATCATTGGCATCATTAACATCTTGTTCGTATAAAATAAATATTTTTGATTTCGAAAGACAATATAAAAGTTTTAAAACCTTTCAAAGGTTTTTTATTTAATGATTTAAAAACTGTTGTAATTAATTGAAAGTAACTTTATTATTGAAAACAAAAATAGATTCATTTCATTTGCAAAAGAGAAGAAGTTAAACTAATTTTTTTAGGTTATGTTTTTTAATCAGCATTATATTTAAATTTTATTTGATATTTTATGAAAATATAAACATTTTTTTCCCTCTTTTTATGCTTTTATAATAAATTAGGAAATATAAAATAAAAAAAGAATTATATATATATTGGCATTTTAGGAATTTCAGTTGATAAATTTTTATAAGGGCTAATATATAACAAATATAATTTATCATTTGAATTTTCATGTCACGTATTGATTTGAATGATTAACAGTGTGGTGTTAACAAATCTCGATTAGTTACTGTGGAAGTAAGTGCCTAGGGGATTAGTATCAGTTGTCCATTAAATTCCGCAGTAAATGCCCTTTCCTGCTTGCGTTTACAGTCTATTAAACGGGGTTAAATGCCTGCCGATCCCCATACTCTTCGATCCTCTTGTGGTCATTCAACGGTTAGATTCCCATCTCTGAATCTAACTTTCGATATTATGTCAGCATTTCAACTCTCCCATATACTGAAAACGTTTGCTGATTTTCAAAAACATTTTATACTTATTTTCTCCAATCGCAAACGTTCGAAACTTGATCATAAATCTTTTTAAGATAGTTTCACATTAAATTATATGGCGTACAAAAACACAAACACGGAAAAAAGATTGGAATTAATTTTGCTACTATAATAACTATAGTTTTTACATTTTTAAATATGTGAAAAGATAAGAATTAACAAAAAAACATAACCTCTAAAACTAATTACCTATAACCTACCTACCAAGAGGTTTCTTAGACTCATTTTTTACATATTTTTATATGAATATATTTTAAAAAATTTTTTTTATTAATTTTCTCTTCAATAAATGAAAATTTTGAAAATAAGAAAAGGGGAAAAATATTGTGAAATAACGAATAATTTCGCACAAATGCATAAAATATAATAATTACTAGACGTACACTCGTGATCAGATATGCCTATACTTTTTTTTCCTTTTCTAACTCATGTATTGCCATGACAACTTGTGCGTAAGACAAGGACAAAAAAGTATAGGCATATACGGCCAAAAGTGTAAACAAGTAGTGCCAACTTAAATAATAGCGCGAAATTTGAAAACTGAAATTAATAATTATTTAAAGAAATAATAATTAATATTATTTACTAAAATATTACTATAAATATTTGTAATGGTTGAAGAAATTTTTTTTTAGTGTTATTGAAATATTAGAAATAATAATTATAATTAAAAATCACTTTAAAAAATGCTGACAATCTAAAAATTTGAAATTCTAGCCAGGATCATGTTGTGTAATTTGAAGTTTATTGATTACTTAATTCATGTTTTTGTAAAAATATATTTTTTAATTTTAATTTAACATTATTAATTATTATTATTAATTAATTTTAACCTTAATCATTAAAATTAATACCGTGTAAATACTTCAATTAGTTATAAATAAAATAATAAAATATATTTTTCAATGTAAAAAAATAAAAAATATATATACATTTTGTCATTACACAATTTAAAATCACTAGAAAAACATAAAAAAGAAATAGCGGTCTGCCAGACCGAGAAAAGTACTAGGCGTCATTTTTTCCATCTAACAGTTTTAAAGGTTAACTATTAATAATGAAAATAATTCAATGATTTATTTTTCCTAATTATTATTATTGTTATTATTATTATTATTATTATTATTATTATTATTATTGTTATTATTATTATTTGAAACAAAATTGATTAATTGTTTTTTTTTAATAAAATTAGAATGAAATCGACGTAAACTTGACTATATATATAATATAATTGAATTTGAAAGAGATTAAACGAGATTTAAAATTTAGTACTGTAAGGACGTGCTTTGCACTAATCGCACACACAGACCACAGATCCGGACTTGTATCTAAAAATGGTCGTCTTCCGTTCAAGATTCTAAATCACCTTAACAATAAAACGTGCTATCGCGACGAAGCACAAGACACGAAGGGGAAATAAGTAAGAGTCGGTAGGGTCAGGGGTTGGAATTTGTAATTCCGGCTTTATAAGAATAAAGGTTACTCGGGGACGGAAAAAGAAATCCGGCATCTCATTGTGGCTCTGGAACAAAAATGCCCGGTGTGTTACTTCCTCTAAAAAAAAAAAAAAAAAAAAAAAAAGAAGAACGAAAGACAGAGTATAAGAAAAAGAGCGAGAGAAAAGGGTCTTCAAGGAGTACCACTTAGCAACTCTCTAACCCTTCGCGAAATCATGTTGACAATTTGTTCAAATGTTGAGTAATGTAATTTATCACATTTTTATTTTCACTTGTTATATTATACTTGCTTTGTTAAGAAAAAAAAAATTTTTTTTCCTATTTAATTAATTCGAAATTATTTTATTTTCGTTGACATTTTTTTTTTTTTTTAATATAAATATTGTTCTTGATTTCATTTTTTCCACTTTTATTATTCAATTTTTTATAAATTTACTTTTACTCTCTTTTACAAATAAATAAATTACGTTGGTGAAGTTAGGAAAGGGCGTCTGCCATATTTGATCCGCCATTTTGTATTCCGAAATTCTGAGCACAGAGTCGTACTCAGCGACCCCGAAAACCCCCGAGTAATGATTTTGAGGTGAATTCAAGTAATTTTTTGAAAGCGTGTCCGCCATATTGGATCCGACATTTTGAATTCCGAAATTCTGAGCACAGATTCGTACTCAGCGACCCCGAAAACCTCCGATTAACAGATTTTGAGCGATTTTGATTCTTTTGTGAAAAAGAAAACATTCATAAATACATTATTTTTAACTTTAAAGTGCTGTAGCTAAAAAACTACTCATAGGATTGAATTTTGGCATAAGGATTTTTTGTTCAGGAAGCCTTAAACTACAAAACTACAGAGTTTCAAAAGATTTGTCTGAAAGCCATTTTCAATGTAAAAAGTGCAGAGTCCTTTGTTTGCCTTCATTTTCTTTTAAAAATTGTTGATCGTGAATTATTAAAAAAAAATTGTTCAGACAAAAAATTATAAAAATATGCATAGAAAAATATTTTTTTTCCTCTAAATAGTTGAGCATAAACAACATTTATACTATCTAAATTTGAATTAGTGAAGATTTTCACTAGTTAAGATTTAGAGAGTAGTTTTTTAAAATTAGATTTTATTATTATATGTTATTAATTATTAATTACGTAATTAATAGTTTATTTACTCTACTTTGGTTTATATATTTTCAGTTTTTTCAGCTATTCAAAACATTTTCGCATTTAAATTCACATTGCAGCGTAGCCTAGTGGTCAGTGTATTGAACTTCGGTCCGTTAGGTTAAGGTATTCGAT